CTGCTGCCCACCATCTTCAGGAAGTCGTTCAGCGCGTCCGTCGCCCGATCTATCGACGCCGCCACTGCTGTAGGGTATTCTTTCTGCCATTCCGACACTAGCTCCTGCATGCTTTCCATAAGTGCCATCCCCGTGTGGATGCTTGGCGGCCCCAGCGCGTGCCCCTTGCCTCTCTCCCTGACCTGGTTCCCGTAATTTTGTCCCGCTGCCGGCAACTTCCGAAACGCCCAATTATTGACTCGCATAACTAAGAAGTTTAAAGTCATATAACTCATCTCCCGCATATCCACTGCTAGGCGGAACACCAATCACTGAAGTCCGTTAGTGCATCCTCTGGGATCAATATCCTCGTAATCTTCCGCTGCTTGTAACTGCTGGCGGGGGGGTCTGCGACCTCCTCCCCCTCCCTTGCCGCCCCCTCCCGCGGCCGCCGCCGCGGGCGCGGGCGGGCTTCTTGCCGCCTTGACGCCCTTCCGTTGCCCACTGGTCATGCTGTTGCCCTTGCCGCCCTTGTAGTGCTTCGGTTCTCCTTTCATCTCCGCGTCTGCTCCTCTTTTGGGCGGGGGCGGTCTCCGCGGTGCAATCGCCATCTTTCACGCAGTACGGGCCAGGATGGTGGCAGCGCGCGCGCATCTGAAAATCTCCCAGCGGTTGAGCCTGAGAGCCACAGAGGGTGCAACCTAGGGAAGGAGGTTGTTGGACAGGGTAATTCCAACCATTTTGTGTTTTAGCAAATCCCGTGATTCTCCGCGGCCCTCATGACATGGTCGGTCGCCTTTTTTCGCGAACAAGCTCAGGCACCGTGGCAGACAATTGTGCGCCGCTCTCCTGTGCGCCGCTCTCCTGCGCGGTAGACACTTGTGCGCCGCTCTCCTGTGCGCTGCCAGCGCCGCCGCCGTAGTGAGTTTTGCCCCGCGCACCTGCCCCTCTCCCCTCACCTCCCAGTCACGCCATTACTGAGCGAACAACTCTTCTCCCACCATTATCTGGGGCAGCTTGGTATCATGGGTGCGCCCCGCATGTCGTGGCATGTTGGGATATGTGCCAATCCGCGCTTCCCAGCCCATCGTGCCCATCTGAAACATGGAGACCTCTGAGGGTATCAGCCTGCCGTGTCCTCGCTGACCTCTGCCAGCGCCTGAAAGTCCCTGACCACTTGCTTCGCCCAAGGTGTAACCGTCTCACATACCCGCCCCTTTTTCCAATCTCCTGACGTCGCGCAGGCGGCCCGAGTTCGACGTCCAAAAGACTGCTACACATGCGCTGCCGAAATATTCTGCCGAAATATTCTGGATCTGTCGCCCATTCCCTGTACCATCGTAGCGTGCGTATTCCCGGCGCTGAAGCACAGCGCGGTATCTTCCATTTTGATCACCTCTTTGTTGGCGCAGCACCTGGTCGTACCGTCCTTTTGCGTCCAACTCATTCTGCCTCTGGCCGTTCGTCTCACAAGTATTGTCATCGTGCTGTCAAGGGTGCCGAGGTGGCGGTCCTCTAATACAAGGGCCATCAGCCCACTAAGGCCCGTCCCCGATACAAACGCCTGGTACAGATCCTTCTTTAGTTTGTCGGTGGTATCAGAAGACCAGAAGCATCCACATTGTCTGTAGGCTGTCTGCATAGCCCCACGTCTCCCCGCGTTCTCCCCTTCGTAGCCTTGACCCCCAGGTAGGTAAGGGCCCAGTGCCCGCACCTCCCGTATCGGCGTGCCCTTGAGCTTCTTTTCTTTTTGCAATTGTCGAGTGATCCCATCTCGGCTTGGACCTCGAATGGAAACCAGATGCTAGGTTTTGGTCGGGTTCAGGCCCCAACCTCTTTTGGCCAGCTTGCGCTCCAATCTCTCCGTGGTTGCGTTGATCTGCTCCGCTATCCTCTTCGCCTGCAACAGCGGCCCACTCACCCTCCCAGTGGGCGCTTCAGTACGAGCCGAGATGACCTCGCTTTCGCCAAAAGCTGAGTGCTCCGAGGTTTCCTCGGTAACTTTCGTCACCTGGGCGGGTGGACCCGACTGAACCACAGCGTGGGTCTTGGTGATGTCGCCCATGAAAGTGTCGAGCCAGAGATCGTGCACCTGGTCTGTAACGGGGTCCAACGTATCATGTGTTGTCAGCATATGGTCCCTCTACCTCTGTTCCTGGTGCCATTGTCCCACGTGCAAGCTGTGAGTATCACTGAATTGCCGTGGGCACAGAATAGCCCATTTGCGCTCCCTGTGTAGCTAGCGCGTGTAATCAGTCATCGGCGCTCTTCATATTCATCGATGTGTAGTTGATCGCCTCGACAGCGAACGGCAAGCCCCCCTCCTTCGATGTCGCGATAACCGATGCCAGCAGGCGGTTTCGTTTCATATTCATACTCGCAGAGGCGTTGGTGCAGTCATAATTACTGGCGGTGGTACTTACCCCTGCTTGTCTCGCTCTCCACTGCGTGTCCCCGACGCACGCAATAGCGTTCTCTATTTGTCTTTTTTCGTAGCCCCCCCCCCCTTGTGCCCAGCACGAGTGTTTGGGAGCTTTTCCTCCGTGTTGAATCCCCTTGTGGAAAGCCATTCCTACGGAGCACTACGTGCGCATCAAATCCCCTGTTGGCATTGCTTTTCTCTGCAGAGAATGAGATCGACCTGTGTCAGTCCAGTGGCGTAGCTTGGGATTGGCGGCACTTCATGAGGATGTCCTCTAGCTTGTTCCTGCGCCCCATACCCTCGTCTGTCTCCATCGCTGTCGACCCCAGTCCAGACTTCTCGTATCTCCCCAAGTAATGCTCCACCCCCTTCGCCCTCGTCGCTTCTCCATCGCCGGCTCTTTCCGACCTGCCCGGCGCATTTCCAGTTTTCCACCCCATTTTCTGTAGAATCGCCCTTCTCACCTTGTATTTGTGGAGTGGGCTGTGCTTGTCCAAGTCCTCCTCGTCCTCGCGTTGCTCCGCCGCTCGAATCTGTCGCTCTTCCAGCTTCCTCAACTGCTCGAAGCCCTTCAGGTTGGCCGCGGGATCCAGTGTCATCCAAGTAAGTTCCACTGGTGCCCCCCGCGGGGGGAAAGCTCTCCTCTTCGCCGCGTTCCTGCAGTAATTCAGCATGCTCCTTCTGTCCCTCTCTACCTGGGCCCGCAGGTCCCCGCGCGTTGGTAGCGGCATGTATTCCGCGATCACCTCGTCATGCTCTGCCTCGTGCTCTTCTACGTCCATCGGCTCTACTGCAAGTCCCCCCTTCGCGAGGATGCGCTCCCAATCCTCTTAGCCATTCCTCTGTGTTCCACCAAATTCGTGCTGAGAAGTAGTACCTCTGTTTTGGTCCTCTCCCCTTCCTCTGATATTATACCCTGGGCTTGTGCATCTCGCTGGAGTCGTTGTTCTACTACGCCCTCCATATCTCCTCTGCCTGCCCTTTTTTCTTTTCGTCTTCCAAGTCTGACTTGTGCTTCCGCAGCGCATTTTGCATCTGTTTCAGTTCCTTGATCTCCCCCAGTCTTTCCTGCGACTCTGACTCCGCCATGTCCACTCTCAACTGCATCCTTTCTGCCAGTAGGGAATGTTTCAGTAGCTGGAAGGCTGCCACTCCCTTGGCATCCTGCTTCTTCTTGTCTGGGGATACTTGTTGTATTGCTATCCTACCTGCATCGCTCCATATCTTCCGACTCTTATCTGCCACAGGTCGGTCCTGGAGCTCTCTCCATTCTTCCTTTGCCGTCCGCTCTCCAGGCTTTGCACTCCAGGATAACCTCGCTTATGCTCTTCCTGGGAGCTCGGCAGATCCCTCGCGTAACGCACTCCGAGATGACCTCGCTAATGATTGTCTTGGAGGCTCGGCAGCATCCGCCTGGATCGCACTCCAGGATGACCTCGCTAATGCTTCTCCTGGCTGCTGGGGCGTAGTAGTCTACAGGTGGCGATCGAAACCGCTCAACAATTCCGCTCTCATACGTCCTTTCCTCAGGCACTCCATCAGAATGTTGCTGTCCACATATTTGTCTGCCCGTTGCTGTCTGCGCTTGTTCGAAAAGTGAAAGTGATGTTCCAGTCCGATGTCGATGCCCAAGCTAATATGGTCTCTAGGTCCTCTCGCTTTGATTTTCTGCTGGTTTTTTCGCCACTCTTCGCACGGCAGCAAATCTTCGCGCGTGCGGTAAGGCCCCCGCTGGTGTTGCTATGTGATCGATCTTGCTCGTCCGTATCTTATCGTCTTTGACGCAGTAAGAAGTAGGTCCACAATCGAAGAAGGTGGTGACTACTGACAACAGGCTGTGGACACACAACTTCCTGAAAACTGCACCGTTGTCGTTCTCCACCTTTATAGCCGCTGGTCCTAGTGCCACTGCATATTTGCTCGAGGTGTGTCTGCTTACCACCACGTCCTTGTTGTTCGTTCTGTGAATTTCCAGTTGACGGTTGATGCCCCCTCCCACTATTATAGTAGATTTGCCGCCTGTGTCGTCACAGTTCTCATCCACCCACATCATACGTTTTTTAGATCATCCCATTGTCTGTGCACCTTTTCTCTGATGGTGAACACGTGGCAAATATTGTGACGTCGTGAGCTTGCGTACGCGGTCTCACCCCCCGCTGCTCTTCCTTGCAGTTGCGCAGGTCTTGTGTTCTGTGTGTGTGTGTGTGTGTGGAAAGGTTTGTCCTTCATCATTTCGTTGGACACCAAGAACGTCGTGCCGCATGCCTTAACAACCCATGTATTCTTTTTGTTGCCCCAAACTGTAGGGTCACATGGTGTCTATGAGTTGTGTTCTTCATCTGCTTTGGCCCTGCCCACTGATGCGCCCCTGTCAGCACAATCGCATCCCACTCTCGTAGTTCCTTGCTAATCTCTTCCAGCCTGTCCGTGGTACTCGCCGCCAGTGGGATGTAAAACGCAAGTTTCATCAATGCACATATCGAGAACAATGTGACGGCTGCCATCTATCTTCCATGCCCCCCCCCCGCGGTGAGCGGTGGAGAAGAATGGAGGCATGGGCGGGGGAGAGGGAGAAAGGGAGAGACCGACGCCTGCCCACAGCCGTTTTGGTCTTCAGCATGCGTGGTTCACGTGCCGGAGAGTGGCTCGCTCTCACGATGCAGCCGCGGCCGACGAGTTCCCTGGTTCTGAGATTTGTGGGCCTGATCGTCGCGGCCCCTGCGATACACAATGTCGGCGCAGCGGTTTACACCAGCGACAGCGAGGTTCAAGCAGTGGTGAAGCGCCTGGATCTGCCTATAGACACACTAACCATGTTCTAAGAATACTCTGTGGATTAGAACATGTCTTGCTCAGACAGTCTTGTTCTAACCAATCGCTGTAACGTTCCAGAAACATTGATTTCGTTGTTCGAGCATACTCGTTCTGGAAAGATCTCGTGGTATCTCGAGGTCCGACGTTGGACAACAGTTGTAACATTGCAAAAGTCCACGGCCAGAACTTTGACCCCATCTTTCTGCCGCATCTTTTCGAGCTGGATCGATGTGTGATAGTCCTCGGGGCCCGCATCCGGGCCAAAATGCCCTGTGTGAAACACGTGCCACGCCCAGATCTCAGAGGGGGCCTCTCGGAATGGCGGGACGGTCGGCTCCTGCTCACGAGGTGGACATGGCGGGCTTCCTGCGCGGCCTCGACGTTTGCCTGCTGGAGCCAGGTTTCCCCGGCAGCCCGGTGAACGTGTCGCTGGGGATGCTCGGGGAGCTGCAGGTCGCGCGCCTGTGTTGCTCGGGGACCGAAGTGGCCAACCTGAGCGCCAGCTTCGCGACCCCAGGCCTCGAGGAACAACAACAGGGCATAGGCAATAAACATAACAGCATGGTGCCTTCAACAACGTCGCCTCCACCCCTTCTCCTTGAAGAGAGGGGAAGCTGCTTCCCCTCTTCCTCCGCTGCTTCGCCTCTCTCTCAGCTGCTTATGCCGCTTTTTCTCTTTCGAAAGTTTCAAGCATTCGAGGAGTAACGAACTTGCATAAGAATAGACATTCGGAGCTCCGTGCGGATTTCTCGGATCGGCGCCTGGGCCCCTGGCGGCGCCTTCGGCGCCGCCCCTGGAGCGCTCCGCGCGCCAAGGAGGGGCGTCCAGCGCCGATCCAAGAAATCCGAGCGGAGCTCCGAAACTGTATGTATATTGCAGCTGATCCGGCTTCGAAGGCCGTGGCCCTGGGTGGCAGGGCGACGTCGATCTGTCTTTCGCGCTGGGCGGGCTCACCACGCACTGCCACGGCGACTGGGCCATGGTGAGCGGCATTCGCAGCGGCAAGAGGGGCGCCGTGGCCTTCGACATCTCGAAGGACAACAAGTCCACGGTGCCGTTGCAGCTGAACTTCTCGGTGGACGGCAAGAATTTCGCGACGAAGGCACGCGAGTACCCGTTTCCCCTCAGCATCTCTGGCGAGGCCAGATGCACCGACGACCCCCTGATCACGGGCATTGATTTCACCGGCGACGACGCCTGGGTTCTCACGAAGCTCGGCAGCGTGTTCCTGACGAGCGCCTTCCAGAGTTGGCTCATCAAACCGCTGATCAGGAATCCGCGACAACTTGTGTGCACCTTACCGTGTTGGCGTCTCCCGACGCGTCGTCGATCCTCGACCCAGGAACGTTACGGTGCATGATTTGTGTCGGACCTCTGGGCCGTGTGCGCTGTACCGCGTTGGGACGAGGCCTGAAGGGAGTCCAAACATGGTACAGGGCGTGCGCGCCATCTTCGTAAGGAAATTCTGCGCGAACGACGTGCCGCGAGTCGTCAACGACGCGCTCGGACAGCTCCGCGACAAAGCCGCGCCTCTGCTCCAGGAGGTGGCGGAGGACCTCCCGGCGCCCGTCGCGCCGGACGGCAGCGGGCGCCGCGTGGACCTGCGGCAGGGCGCGGTGGGTTGGTTTGGCGGGCTGCTGCAGCAGGGCTTCGCCACGGGGCAGGCCTCAGAGGAGGAAGACCATGAGATGTTGGCGTCGCATTTTTTACAACGTACCGCCAAAACGCTGACGTAACGACCGCTTTGGGCTCAGGAGAGGCTCGGGTTTTCGGGGCGTCCCTTGGATTTCTGTTGTGGAACCTGTTTGTGGCCTAGCCCCGCAACCGTGGCCAGAAAAGCTTATTTCGGGCCCCAGGACTCTCGCGTATCGATCCGGCTCGAATATTGACACAGGAAGATGGGGTTTGGGTCTCTCTTGTCGTGTTGGTTTGCGATGAAGATTTTTTTTTTGCAGCAACGTTAGATCTGAGGGAAGGTATCAATACTGCTACCCTGGCCCCGTTTTCGATTTTCGGGGCCTCCAGGGAGACCATCGTCGCCACGGCTGGGTTCGCCTCGAAATCCTAGTCAGAACAGCTCCGTTGGAGAGTTCTGGGTAGGAGCGGTATCGGTATCTTGAGGCGATTTCTTGATTCTGGCAAGTGTGTTTGCATGGAGGGTGTGGGGGCGTGGCTAGGTCCGAAAAGAAGTCAGACCTTCGCGCAAGTTGGGACTCGCTTGCACGCCTCTCGGCCTAGCGCTGCTTGAACAGGCGGCGGAGGGAGCCGTGCATAAGCTTGCCTGGGTCTCGAGAAACAACAACATTAGATTGGTTCCCCCAAGGCCGCAGAGCTCTTGGACAAGATCGCACAGGGTATCCCCTCCGAGGTCCGAATGGTTTATGAACAACAAAAACCGTATAAACATACTTTCTCGGCGCCTTGCGCAGATTTCTTGGATCGGCGTTGGCCGCCCCTTGCGTGCTCCGCGCGCCGGGGAGTGGGGCCCAGCGCCGATCCAAGAACTCCTCGCGGACCTCTGTTTTTGCCGTGCCGAGTGCCTCGAGAGGTCCGCGAGCTCCCCGGCGGTGGAGTGCAGCTCGCCAGCATGGCCACGGAGCACCCGGCCGAGCTGGCCCTGGACGTCTTCCTGCAGGGCGCCAGCCTCGCTGGGCTCCGCACCCTCAGCGCCGCGGGCGTGGAGGCTCGAGGAAGACAAGCCGACAGGAGCACACAGCTTTGGGAGGTCCGTGTGAGTCGTCCGGGACGGTCTCGACACCCTGGCGCCGCCGCTGGCGGCGCGCTCCGCGCCACAGGTTGCGGTGTTGAGACCGCCCCAGGCTTCTCGGGGAGCCTGGTGAGGCCACTTGGGGCTAATCGGGGGGCCTGTTTAGGCCAGCAGGGACTACCTGGGTGGGCTGTCCGTGCGAGCCCGCAGCCTTAGCATGCGTGCTCTGCACTGTGCGCCAGTGGGATCCAGCGCCGACCCAAGACATCCGCGCGTGTCTCGGAAGGTTTCTATGGTCAGGGGCGTTTTTGCTTGGCCAGTCACGCCGCCGGCTTTTGCCCACCACGCATTGGCGCGACACGCTAGGCTCCCACAGCGTCAATGTCCCGAGCCTTTTCCAGCCTCCCGCCCCGCGGGGAGGAGCGACACGCTATCCGCGTGCAGGGCTCGACGTGTCGCCGGGGCCGCCGCTCTGACACGCTTCGCAAAATATTCAAGCCGCATGATCACGCAGTGTTCTCTTCCATCGAAGAAGAACAATACGGCATAAGCATAAACTTTCGAGCCTCCCCGCGGATTTCTCGGATCGGCGCTGGACTCCCTTCCGTAGCGCGGGGAGCGCGCCAGGGGCGGCCCCGGAGGCGCCGCAAGGGGGGGCCAGCGCAGATCCGAAAAATCCGCGCGGAGCTCCGACAGTTTATGCTGATGTTGTTCGTTGTTCCTCTCTTCTTGAGGCGCTGGGCCCGGAGCTGCTCTCGTTATCGATGCGCCAGGCGGCACTCAACGTTTCCGCAGAGATCGGGTTCACGGCCACCGCTGGCCTGGCGAGCGCGGGAGCGGCCGACGTGTCAGCCCGGCGGTTGCTCGGCGTCCGCGGGGAGTGGCTTTTTGAGGGCAGGCGCCCGCTGGAAGAGCTGCGCGACAGGCTCGAGGAAGGACACACTGAAGCCTCGAGGGTCCCACGATTCCTTGCTGTTTGGGGATCTCGTCCGGATTTCGTTGGATTTCGTCGACATCTGGACGAAATTCGAAAGACATCTGATTTGGACGACAGGGCGACGCGGGGTGATCGAAATCTGGAGGGAAACTTGTCGAAAGCATATTTATGTTAGGGTCGCGGAGGTCCACAGAGGCTCCCATGAAGGCTCACCCAGCATTTAGAGGAGGAGGAGGAGGAGGTGTCGATACCGCTGCCCGTGCTTCGCTTTCGCCTTGTTTTGGGCCTCCGTGAAGGAGGCCCTCGTCGCCACGGCCCGATTCGCCCCGCAATTCTGGTCAGATTGCACCCCAGGAGAGATCCGAGGAGTAGCGGCATCGGTATCTGCAAAACATGATGTGCCCCAAACTTGCTTGTCCGTCGCATCTACAATTTATGCATTATACATGTTGTTGTATACTCGACGAAGCACATGTGTTCGGGGGTACACTCATTCTGTAGTCAATCTCCTACCCGAGGCATGCAGAAGCCTCGACTTTCGGAAGGCCGCGCGGATTCCCTGGATCTTCGCTGGACGCCTCTGGCCTGCCGCGCGGAGCACACTGGCCGGGGGGCGCACTTTCCGCGGGCCAGGGGCGGGGTTCCAGCGCCTCTCCAAGGTCCAAGAAGTTCTCGCGGACCCCCGAAAGTGCATGTCTGTGCAGCTTCTGTTCCTCTACAGGTTCCAGCTGCATCTGTCTCTGGAGAACCTGTCTGCGGGTGCTCGGGTGGGGCTCCTGCTCGATGACGCCAGGGTTCAGGAGCTGACCCGGGGTCAAAGCTGGTACGACACCAAATGCATGAGGGGCATGGTCCAGAATGCCTCTGTCACGGGCGTCGACGTGCTCGTTACCGTGCCACGCTTTGTCTGGAACAGCAAGAGCCGGAGTGTTGGTGCCCTCGAGACCGATCTCGACGCCGCGATCAACAGCGTGTTGGGCTATCTGAACGTGCCGCAGATGCGCCCCACAGTCTCGCGGATGGTCCAGAGCGTCGCGGCGGGGAAGGTGCGGGACGTGGTCAACGCGCAGCTGCAGGGCATACTCGCCGATTCGGACGACTCGGAGTGCGATCCCAAGTACGGGTTCCAGCAGATGCAGCTCTTCTACGTCCTCGCCTTCGCCGGGGGCGTGTCCGTGCTGGCCGCCTGCGCCGCCTGGCTTCTGGGGAAGGCGTTCGTTCCTGCCGGAGGCGCCGGCCAGGGCACGCGGGCCTCCTGCCAGGGGGCCGTCATCCTACTGGCTATGGCGTCGGCGTGCCTGCAGCAGTGCGGCCTGCTGGCGCTTCCCCTCAGGGCGGCAATGCGATTCCGCAGCGGCGACCCGCGCGACGACATCTTCGGGAACGTGTTCCTCAAGTCGAAGAAATGAAAACGGCGTAGAAATCAACTTGTGGAGTTCTGCCCGAATTTCTTTGATGGGCGCTGGGTCCCCCCTGGCGTCGCCCCTGACACGCCTTGCGCGCCAGGGATGGGGGGTCCAGCGCCGATCCAAGAAATCTGCGAGGATCTCCGAAAGTTTATGGTTCTGCAGTTGTTTGTTGCTCTATCAAGGGCTTAGCGGATCCCCATCCCCATCCCCATCCCCATCCCGATCCGAACCATCTCACCACCCCAAGCGGGGATATGCCCCTCGGAACCCGAAGGGAACACCATATCCCCATCTAGAGGATAAATCGACCAGTGGGGCCCAGGCCACGCCAGTGGGGATGGGGATCGGTTGAACGAGTCTCAGGAACGTGTTCCTCATGGGCCTCGCGGACCCCATCGGCAGAGTCGACGGCTTCCTGGCCGTGGCCCTCGTGGCCGTCGGAGTCAGCGCCACCAGGGCGCTGTGCGTGGCACTGGCGGCGGCCACGGGCTTCTCGCCGAAGGCGTCGCGACTGGCTCTCCGGCTGGCGGGCTTCGGGGGCTGGGGCTTCGCCCTGACCGCCATCCTCGCCACGACCCAGGTGAGTGACGAAAGAAAACGGGACCGCCTGCGCCGACAGTCATCGCGTGAGTTGCCCACGTAGGGCTGCGCGTAAGCGCCTTCGTTTCCAGTGTGGCGTGCCACGCTCTCGGTGCTGGCGAGCTGCGGCGTAAGGCCGCGCTGCCATTCTGCGTCAGACCCGCTTCTCATCGTCGCTCAGGTGGTGGCCTTCCACATCAGCATCCTGACCTTCGGGGACAGCTCCCTGGTGCTCGGAGCCATGCTGGGTGGCTGCGTATACCTCCAGCTGCTCGGGCTGTACCTCTGCGATGCGGCCAGCGTGGCCGTCCTCAGGCAGTGCGGCGCTGACCGCCCCCTGGCAGAGGACGGGCCGGCCGCGGTAGTCCGGGGGGAGGGCGGCTTGGCTGGGCAGCCCGGGTCCCAAACTGCCGGTGCGCTTGCCGCTTCTGTGGCGCCGCCGCTGGGCTTGATGGCGTCAGGTCTGGCAGGAGTGCTGGCGGTGTTGCCCTTCCTTCCGTGGATCCCCCTGTGGGCCCAGGAGTGGGGAGGCCTCGTCGGCGAGGTCGCGACCTACCAGAGCCAAGAGGCGCACCGCGTCGTGTCTCTGGCCGACGTGCTCGCCAACCAGGGGTTCCTGGTCAACCCGGGGCCCCTGCAGGTGGGCGCACGCGTGATGCAGCTTTTCGTGCTGCTGCACACCCTGGTTGCCCCGGCGGCCCATGCCTCCCTGGCCGTCGCAGTTGGGATGCAGCTTCGAGGACGTGCCTCTGCCGAGGCCAGCTCTGAGCTGCTGTCCGTGCACCTCGTGGGCGGCCTGGAGCTCATGCGCATGTGGTCGGCGGCTGACGTCTTCGCGATCGCCGTCATGGTGAGCGTGGCCGACCTCGGGAACGAGCTGGCGATGATGCGGCAGCAGATGTGCAGCGCCGTCGAGCCGGTGCTGCCCGTCACAGGCATGACCTGCTTCGAGGTGGACTGCGTCGCGCGGCCAGGGCTCGCGGCGCTACTGGTGCTGGGGGGGCAAGTCTTTCAACACTGCTACTCCGCGTGCCTCTCCGGGGGCGCGCTCTGACCAAGATTTCGAGGCGAGTTCAGTCGTGGCGACGATGGATGAGTGGCAGCATCGGTGTTCTGGGATCCGACGTGGCGAAACACTGGAACATCGCAGAAAAGTTCGACCGCAGCCGCGTTCCCCATCTTTCTGTTGAATATTCAGAGCCGAATCGATCTATGAGGGTTTGGGGTGCCCGAAGCAGGGCAACAGCGCCCGTTGCAGAATCGATCAAACAAACCCGCGCGAACCTTCGAAAGGTTTGTGTTTATGCCGCTTGCTCTGCTTCCATTTCTTCCTTTGAGGTATGGGGGCTGGCGTCGAGGCTGCTGGCAGAGCTGAGTGCGCACAGGCCTCGCGGGCGAAACGCTTGTCCGCATCCACGGCCTCGCGGGACGGGCCCCTGCGCCGCGACGCTGCGGGTACGGGGCGTTTTTACGCGGGTGCCCCGCGCGGAGCGTACTGTTAAGACGCTGAAGTAAGGAGCACTTCGGGCTCCAGAGGGGCTCTGGTTTTCAGGCCGTTCCTTCGGACCTGGGTCGGAAAACCCGTTCGTGGCCGAGGCTCGCCGTTGCCAGAACAGCCCCCTCGTTCCATATTCAGAGTTCCTCACGGTAGCACGATGGTTGTATCCGTGCGACCGCTTATCCCGCGTATGGTAGGTTCGCGTCGTGTCGACCGGCGGCAACCCCAGCGCGAGCGTTGAAGATCGAACGCCGCCCGTGACCCAGAATCGGCCCATCGTTGCACGATCTGGCGTTTCTGAAACGGCTGATCGTTCAAGCTTGAACGATCCCTGCGGTGTCAGGAACTAACGCCGAAGTCGGCACAACACGAACCTGCCGCATCCGCGGGATCGCGCCCCAGAATTGTCTGCGGGGGTGGTGTGCAAACATCGTGTCGTCAAGGGATACCATTCTTGTACACACACACCGCTCCGCGGTCTTATGCCAGACCAGCTTGTTCGAAGGGATGAAGTACAACAAATCGCGACCCCAGCCCCAGAGTCGAGACCGCGAGGGCGAGAATACGGACATGCGTCCACCGCTGGTGCCAGGCCGCTGCGTCGCCTCCGCCTGCGCGGCGGCGGCGTGGGCGCGGCGGCGGGCGGCCCCGCGGCGTGCGACGCCGCGGCGTCGGCCGAGGTCGAGCTGGGCCGCTCCTTCGGGTGAGCAGCGACTCTTTGGCAGCCACGCCGCCCTCTCTCGCCTCCTCCTCGCTGCGGGCAAGACTTGTGCCCATATCCACTGCAGCTTGGAGTTTCGGGCTCCCTCCCCCAGAAGCCCGAGGCGCACCGGATGTGGATAACAATCTGTCCCCTGGAGGCCCGATTTCTCATCAATATCCAGTGCGCCGCAGCCCTGCGGCACCCCTTCCAAGCAAGTCCAAGGCGCACTGGACATGGATACGAATATTGCCGCACTCGTGACGTGGAGGGAGAGTGGGCAGAGCGGCGAGGACGAAGACGAGGACCTCGTCCTCGTCCTCGCCCTTCTCCGTCTTCGCTTGGGCCGTGCCTCGCGCGCCATAGTGTCCAGGCGTGTTGCTTCGCAATGCCAGCTGCTGCCGAGGGGTGCGGGGCTTGCGTGATGGACGGGGGAAGATTCGGGTGAGCAGCGGCTGGGGTTACGTTGGGCCTGTCCCTCTACAGGAGGGATATTCACATAGTCAAAAAATAGTATGGGGACGATCGTTTGACGATTCATTCGCATTTTGTCTAGTATGTTTCTTTGATATGCTTTGTTTGTTGTACAAAACCTGCCTGCAGGGGGACACGCCCGACCTAACTTTATGGATGGGGAAGATTCGGGTGAGCAGCAGCTCGGGCCGCTGGCGGTGCCTGCCGAGCCCTCGCCCGGCCTGCCGCGCGGTCGCGCGGCAGGCGGCCGCAGCCCCAGGGGCCCCCAGACGGTGTGCTGGTCGCACCGTGTGGCGACCGCAGACACGCTGACGGCGATGTACGGTAGGTTCGTTTCGTGTCGACCGGCGCCGACCTGGTCAGCGGCGTTCAATGTTGAATGCCGCGGGCGACTCAGAACCGTTCGATGTGTAACGATTTGGACGTTTCGGAAACGGCCGATCGTTCAAGGTTGAACGACCCCCGCGGTGTCAGAAACCAACGCCGAAGACGACACGACGCGGCTTTGTAGGTGGGGGTGCTTCGAGGCCGACCCGATTGCAGGAAAAAGGGTGGTGCGTGGTTTCCTGGAATTCTCCGTGTCGTCCGTGCTCGACAGATGTCGCGCGTTTGAGATGTAGGACCGTGTGGTTCGCGATGTTCTGCAATTCGTTCTGCGCGAGTTCGGCGCTGCAAAAACCAGATTCCCATGATCGCGTGGCCTTGGAGTGAGTCATTGGGTATCCGGGGTCACCGCACGGTTTTGGGACTCGGGTCGTTCTCCGAGGGCGTCTCTGGCGACCAGGGCCTCCGTGGTCCCAAGACCATGTGGCGACGGACCGCTCGGTGAGGCCGTTGGGGATTCCGACCACGCGGTCCGTCACCACACGGTTTGGGGGCCCCAGAAGCTCGAGCAGCAGGGTCCGAGCCGTGATTCAGCGGTTCTTTGGCCGCACAAGAAACCACCGCAACCGGAAGTTATGGGTGTTTCTTTAAAATGATTTTTTGTTGGTTGTTCTGTTGTCGCGGTTACTGTTGGCACGTGCTTCGATTTCACATGTATCGCGTTCTCGTGGGGTTGCTTCATTGCCACTTGCAGAGCGTCTCCCGCAGACCTTCCCTTCGACGTGCTGGCGCGAGACCGAGTGGCGTGCCTGCGCGGCGCGGCCTGTTTAACACGACGCGCGTGCGCGCAGTTCAGAGGAGTTTACATTCGTAGCCGCCTGATTGTTGCGGCACCGCGCCATATTTGTTTGCGCGGCGCGTAACGCTCTTTTCGGATGCCATTTGCGCGTGTTTTGCATGGGCGGATCGCCTTGGCGCAGCGATGCTTCGCGCGGCGTGGTTCGGCCGCTTTTGCGCGATGATGCGCCCGTGTGCGTGTGTGTTGTCAGAGCGGCTCTGCGTGACGGCGTGTCCAGTAGCGATTACCATGCCGTTAAGTTTGTTCCTCGTGGGCACGCGGGCCCCCCGCCCCTTTTCCCTTCTTCGCGGCACGCCAAATTGTTGGAGTGTCTATAAGTTTGTTTCGTTGGGCGCTTGCGCATGTGATTTTTTTGTGAGCATTGTTCATTTGTTGTCCACCTTTCGCGCGACCTCTTCTGGTTGCTTTCCCCCTCGTCCACTCGCATGATGTTTTGATGGTGTTTTATTGCGCACGTTTCAAGGTGGAGGGCCCGGTCCGCTCGTGGAGGGCGCGACATTGTTGACAAATCATACGCGTCGCGCGGTTGTGGTAGAAACCACGGCGCGTGCGTCATGCCGATCTGTTCGCGGCAAGTCCCGCGCACCGCGACCGCGCAGCACTCGGCGTGGCGAGTCTTCGAGCACCGCCACGAAAGCCATAACGCGCGACATGTCGCCGCCCATAGCCTTGCAAGGGCCGCAACATGTGACGCGCTCTTCCGCGCCGCTTCGGGGCGCACTCCTTCGTCTACGTCGTCGCCCTCCCCCTTCCCACGTCCCCCATGTTGTCACCCTCCCTTCTTCCATTTCGTTCTCCTTGTCTCATTATTGCGTCTCCTGGGGTTCTCACGTGGCACACATGGACAACATGTGGTATGTCATGGGTTACTGTCGGGTTGTCATGGGGGCCTCCTGGGACACTCTTGAGTCGTATATGGGGCTACCTGGGACATTAGGGGCCCTCTTGGGCCGTCGTGAGTTGCCTGGGGGGTATCTTGGTGCCGTCTTGGGCCGCGTTCGCCTCCATGCTGGTTTTCTTGCTTTGCCTGGGTTGGGTCTTCAGTTACCCCCAACCCCACTAGGTCTGGTACCAGACCTCCCTTCCACCTCCAACAGGTCTGGTGGGATGCCCCCCTTCCACGTCGACCAGACCTCCCAGCGGGCCCTCCTCCGGCGAGGTGGAGGGGGCCTCCACCAGACTTCCTCCCTGGTTCTCCTGGAGACCTCCCCCTGATCCCCCCGAGGGCTTGGGGAGGCCCGGGGAGGCCTTCCGGAGGCTTCCCTTGGTTTCCACAAGGTGTGGCGAGACGCTTCCCACGGCCCCTGGGAGCACCAGGCGAGGCCTCCCCCAGGCTTCAGGGACGACCAGGGGAGGTCTCTGGGAGGCTTCCCCTGGTTCACCTGGAAGCCTCCGATGAGAGTTCCCGCAGGGGGGGGGGTCTCCTGTGGGAGGCTTTCGGGAGGACCAGGGAAGCTTCCAGGAGACCTCACCTGGTCCTCCACCAAGTTTCCCCCCAGCGGCCCGGGAGGACCAGGGGAGGTTTCCAGGGGGCCTCCCCTGGTCTCCCCGGAAGTTTCCCCTTGGAGGGAGCCCTGCCAGATTTCGAAGTCTGGGGGGGGCTCCCGGACCCTGGTCCTCGGGGAGGATTCCCAGCAGGCTTGCAAGGACCAGAAAAATCTTTTGGGAGACCTCCCAGACCCCTTCTGGAAGTTTGCGGGAGGCCCCTAAGAGGACCAGGGGAGGTTCCCCGGCGGTCTCCCCCCAGATTCCAGGAGGTCGTCAGGACACCGCTAGGAGGCTTATTCTTCGGGGCCCTGAGGCCAGTGGATCACCGGATGCAGTGCAGCTACGGTGGCGACGGCAGCAGAGTCGCGTTCAGCCTCGGCGAAACATTTGCCGCGCGTTTCCAAGCTGGGTGGCTGGTTGGGGGCCTCCGACGGCCACGCCGGGACGTTTGAACTTTGGGTCTTTCCGCTCCAAGAAAACATGGTGGACGTAAGGAAACTTCTGGTTCCTTAATAAATGCCCCCCGGGGGGCCTCGATGGTCCCAAAGTGCGAGACATCTGTCGATCCACCAAATTTAATAAGGAATTCCCGGGGTCCCAAGTAAGGTCCTTACTTGGGTGCCTGGCGGTCCCAGAATTCAGGGCCTTACTTGGGTCCTCGGCGGTCACAGGTCCCACAGGTTCCACAGGTCCCACGTGTCCCAAATGTCCCACAGGACCCATAGGTCCCACGGGTCCCGCAGGTCTCGAAGGTCTCGCCGGTCCCGCAGGTCCCGCAGGTCCCACAGGCCGCACAGGTGCCACAGGTGCCACAGGTCCCGGAGGTCCCGCAGGTCCCGCAGGTCCCACAGGTCCCACAGGTCCCTCAGGCCCAACAGATCCCACCGGTCCCAAGGTCTTGCAGGTGTCACAGGTCCCGCAGGTCCCACAGGTCCCACAGGTCCTACAGGTCTTACAGGTCCCACAGGACCCACAAGTCGCAAAGAAGGTGCCAAAGGTCCCACAGGTCTCGCAGGTCCTACAGGTCCCACACGTCCCACAGGTCCCAAGGGTCCCACAGGCCTCGCGGGCCCCACAGGTCCCACAGGCCCCACAGGTCCCACATGTTTCACATGTCCCATAGGTTCCGCAGGTTCCGCAGGTCCCGCGTGTCGCGCAGGTCTCGCAGGTCCTGCAGGCCCCGCAGGCCCCGCAGGTCCCGCAGGTCCCACTGGGTCCCACAGGTCCCACAGGTCCTACAGGTCCCACAAGCCCCACAGGTCCCGCAGGCCCCACAGGATCCACAGGGTCCGTATTTCCCACAGGTCTCGCAGGTCGCGCAGGACCCGCCAGTCCCGCATACTCCATAGGCCCCGCAGGCCCCGCAGGTCCCACAGGTCCCACATGCAGGTCCCGCACGTCCCACAGGTTCCGCAGGCCCCACGGGTCTTACAGGTTTTAAAGGTCTCGCAGGTCCCGCATGTCCCGCAATTCCCACAGGTCCCGTAGGTCCCAGAGGACCCATAGGTCCAACAGGTCCCACAGGACCCGCAGGTCCCGCAGGTCCGCAGGTGCCACAGGTCCCACAGGTATGAATGACCCCACAGGTTTCACAGGTTCTCGCAGGTCCACCGGTCGCACATGTCCCGCAGGTCCCGCAGCTCTCACAGGTCCCACAGGTTCCGCAGGTCTCCCAGGTCCCTCAGGTCCCACAGGTCCCACAGGCCCCCCGGGTCCCACAGGTCCCGCAGGTCCGACAGGTCCCGCCGCCAGCACAGGTCCCACGAGTCCCACAAGTCCCGCAGGTCGCGCAGGTCCCACAAATCCCGCAGGCCCAGCATATCCCACATGTCCCACAAGTCCCACATGCCCCACATGTCCCACAGGTCCTACAAGTCCCGCAAGCCCCGCAGGCCTCGTAGGTCTGGCAAGTCCCGCAGGCCCCGCAAGTCCCAGTCCCCCCAGGTCCCACATGCCCCGAAGGCCCCACAGGTCCCACAGGCCCGATAGGGCTTACAGGTCCTACAAGGGCCACGGGGTCCGCAGGTCCCGCAGGTTCCGCAGGACCCGCAGGTCCCACAGGTTTCGCAGGTCGCGCAGGTCCCGCATGTCCCACACGTCCCACAGGCGACGCATGCCCCACAGGCCCCTCAGGCCCTACAGGTCCCACAGGCCCCACAGGTCCACCCAGCCCCTCCGGTCCCACAGGTCCCACAGGTCCCACATGTCGCGCCGGTCCCGCAGGCCCCGCAAGTTCCGCAGGTCCCACGGGGCCTACAGGTGCCACAGGCGCCACAGGTCCCACTGGTATCGCAGGTCCTGCAGGTCCCACAGGTCCTACGAGTCCCTCAGGTCCTACAGGTCCGACAGGTCAGGCAGGTGTCGCAGGTGGCGCAAGCCCCGCAGGTCCCACAGGTCCCACAGGTCTCGCAGGGACGACAAGTTTTGCAATTTCGAAGGCCCCACAGGTCCCACCAGGCTCACGCGTCCCACAGGTCCCAAGGGCCCCACAGGTCTCGCAGGTCCCTCAGGTCCCACAGCTACCGCAGCCCGCACAGCTCCCACAAGTTCCACAGGGCTCACGCTCCCAACATTTCTCCCAATTCCGGCAGGTTCCACAGGTCCCGCAGGTCCCACAGGTCACCTTTGGTGTTATTAAGATGGTTCCTGGGGTGATGTTTGCAAGGCGCAGGCGCGTGTAATTGCATGCGCTGCGCGCAGTGCAGAGTGAACCGTGAGTGCAAGTGCGAAACGCTGCCATGTAAATTTGGGATTGCGCCCGTCCTGGAATCTTTTTGTGAACTTGCGGTTGCGGTGGTTTCCATCGTGGTCATGATTCTTCCTCCATTCAGGGGCAACGCCAGGGGGTCTTCGATTGTCCCATGGGTTTTGGGAGTGCAGAAGTTTTCGACGGTTCCCATCTGGTTTCCCGTCTCGGGATGCTTTCTAGCAGCTCCGCCTCGGATCGTCCTGAACGGCCGCCGGAGGCCCGAACTACTGTCCGAAGACCACTGTGGACGGGGATGGGCACAGGTGGGTACGCATCGACCCCCAATCGCCCATTCATCGCCGACAGTGGTCCGAATGACCGCCCCGCCCGGGAACGTCTGGATTGGCTATCGGGGGTATATCGCCGATCTGTCGGTGATGTATCGCCGATCCCCGTGCTCCTTGTGCCCCCTGATCCGATTGCCCTTTATCGTCTCTCGCAGCGCAGTGGCAGGATTCGAGGCTGAATTCATGGCACCGTGCGGCTACAAGTGGGAGTGGCTTCGCCGGAGGCAACCTTTGGTGCACGACTCTCCGTGGAAACGCGCGGGGGGGGGGCAGACTTCGGCACGCGGGCCAGCGCTGTTGTCGCAGTGCATGCAGCGATCGGAACGCCGCCCACCTAGTTCACTCCTTGCCTACTTTGGGTTTCTTAATAAGCGTGGGGGGGTACCCCTTCCGACAGGGGTCAACCTCGCCTCGTCGTCGCGCCGCGACGGGGGTCGGAGCGCCTTTGGCGCGCGGTGGCTGCCCGCGACGGGGGTCGATGTGGGGCTGTCGGCGGGGGTGACGCCCCCCAAATTAACGCTTATTTTGGAGTAGGGTCACTATTTACGTGCAGTCGGACCGTGAACGGACGGATGCTGGTCCACCCTGCAGCTGGCGGGTCTTTGCCACCAGGCGTGCCCAGTCACGAGAAGCTGCCTGGAGGGCCACCGCCTGACAGCCCACGCCGACGGCCTCCAGAGAAGGCCGCGGCTGCTGGAGATCAACGACGGATGCGGCCCGTAGCTCTTTGGAGCTTCGAGTTTTAAGGCAGTCTGGACTCTCGAGGTGTGGCGCCCAGCAGCGAAGGGATTTTCCTCCTTGCCAGTTTGTCCAGCTGCCTGCGTCAAATTCTGGCACCGTGTCCAAACATCGTTCAAAGGAAGGGCAGAACTCGAAAACACGCCAGCATACACACACACACTTGTTCGAAGACCTGCGCGGACCTATGAACATGTGCGCTGATGCAGATTTGCCACGTCCGGACAATGGTTACAGTAAACAGAAAAATCGTTGAACCAGACATCGACTTGCCATCAGGTGCCCCACGGGTATTTCTCGTCCCCAGATGGCTTCATGGACCCACAGAAACTCTGGACTCCTTTGGATCCTCAACGGTCGAAGCAACATGTGCCCCAATACCACTCATAGCAATATTGCACTCCCATGTGTCTATAGTAGGTTCGTGCAGATATACCGTCTTTCAGTAATGGTTATGCCAAGCTTTACCGAAAAGACTCATCACACCCTACTTGGGACCGTTTGAGAAGAAGGAAGCGCTGCCACGCAGAAGCGGTGGCGGGGCCAACATCTTGCATGGTTGCCGCGTTACCTTCGGAGGGCGCACATTGTACATATACACCGATTTTGGCCAGGCCGATATTGTGTCCAGGATCGGTAGCTGTCTGTCTGTATGTATGTATGTGTGTATGCATGCATGCATGCATGTATGCATGCATGCATGCATGCATGCATGCATGTATGTATGTATGTATGTATTTATGTATGTATGTATGTATGCATGCATGCAGGCATGTCTATATGTCTAGTCATGTATGTTTGCAGCTATGTATGTATGTATGTGTGTACGTATGCATGAACGTATGCATGTCTGTCTGTTTGTCTGTCTGTTTGTCTGTCCGTCTGTCTGTCTGTATGCATGTAGCATGGATGGATGCAGGTATGCATGGATGCAGGTATGCATGCATGCAGGTATGCATGTACGCATGTATGCATGTCTGCATGCATATGCATGCGTATATATATATATATGTACACCTATGTATATATATATATATACACACGTGCGTGTGCCATATTATATACATATATTAAATACTTATATCACTCCCTACCTAGGCTCTGCCTAGAAGGGTTCTTACTCTCTTAGCTTAAAGGGGCCGGGCAGTGCAAAGCGCCCCGGGCGGTTCCCCCAGTCCCCTGGGAGCGGTTCCCCCCAGTCCCCTGGGAGCTTTAGCTTTAGCTTTAGCTTTAGCTTTAGCTTTAGCTTAGCTTTAGCTTAGCTTTAGCTTAGCTGTAGCTTAGCTTTAGCTTAGCGTTTCGCTTAGCGTTTCGCTTAGCGTTAGCTTAGCTTTTAGCTTAGCTTTAGCTTAGCTTTAGCTTAGCTTAGCTTAGCTTTAGCTTAGCTTTAGCTTAGCTTTAGCTTAGCTTTAGCTTTAGCTTAGCTAGCTTAGCTTTAGCTTAGCTTTAGCTTAGCTCTTAGCTTAGCTTTAGCTTAGCTTTAGCTTAGCTGAGCTTAGCTTAGCTTTAGCTTAGCTTTTAGCTTAGCTTTAGCTTAGCTTTAGCTTAGCTTTAGCTTAGCGTTACTGTTACTACTAATGCTGCTTTCCTAGGGGTTCCAACTCCTAGGTAGGGTCGCACTGGGATAATTGTTTGATCTGTAGATGCCTTCCTCGCCAAGGCAGGACAGGGGCATTCCTCGATCGTGGGCCCAGGATGGGCCTGGTCAGGATCGGTGCAGGTGTGTAGCTGGCGCCCTCCAACACCTTCTGGGGAGGTCCTGGGAGGGATCATTGGGCTCGCTCCTCGCTCCTCCTCCTCCTCCTCCTCCTCCTCCTCCTCTTCATTCCTCCTCATTTGTGCCCGTCCGGGGGGGCTTCTCTCGGTGGCCCCGGTACCGCTGCTCGTCCTGGAGAGCCCTCGTCGCCACGGCTGGTTTCGCCTCGACCCCCTGGATATCACGCACCCCGGAAAACAAGGGCGCCCTCGAGGGCGCGAAGTGACTCGCGCTTCGCGCTTCGCGGTTCGGCGCCGATTCCTCCTCATCCTCTTCTTCTCTCCTGGGGGGCGGCGCGAACGCGCGAACTTATTCGCGCTTCGCGCAGCGCGAAGCGCGAAGTGAGGCGCCCTTGGGAAGAGCTCTATGGAGGATCTGAATCGGTACCCTGTTCTGCCCCTCCCCATCCAGGGGGGCTTCGGAGGGCCTCCCTGTGGCCTCGGCGGGGTTCTCGTGTCCGTCTTGGGAGCGCTCTCTCCTGAGCCGGCTCGTGGAGACCCCTTCGGGCCCACCTGGTCGGATGCCAGGACACCTTGGAGGCCGTCCCTGGGCGGTCTTGGGCAGCCTTGGGAGGTTCGTGGGCTCTCTTGGGGCTGTCTTCGGCGATCGTCGAGCTCCTGGAGGTGCGTGACCTCTCCTGCGGGCATCTGACGCTGACAGTGGTTGTTTCAAGGCCCAACACGTCGATCACCACGTTCTCGCTGGCTTCCCAGGGCCTCGGAGGACAGCTCCTCGTGCGCCTCTTGGGTGCTTTTCCAATGTCAGCCGTTCCGCATCGACTTGGAGCCGTGATGGGGCTGTGGGGCGAACAGGAGAGCAGCGCGCAGGATGGACGATCCTTCCACGTCGCGCGGTAGAGGCGCGCCCAAAACGAATCGACGTGGCGAAGGGCCTAACCCCACTGTGCCCATGCCGAACAAACCAATCCGATCCCCTTAGCGGCTACGGGCGGCCCGATCCGACTCGATCCCGAGATTCCCACGATCCGAGGAGGCCCGATGCTGTTACGGCGCCGCTTGACATCCTGGCGCAAGCGATCCGCTTCGATTCCGACTGCGTGCTGATGCAGCTCGCTCCGACGCAGATATCGGTTCGATCTTGTTTCCCGATTGTATGCTGACTTACCCTTGCCCCATGACAGGTGCGTCTGACAGAAACAAGTCAGGATGTGCTGGAAGCAGCGAAGGCCCATGCGGGCGCGCCCACAGGTGCCGCAGGCGGAGCTCCCCATCGGGCCTACGGAGCAATCGGAGTGATGAGTCTGCCGAAATGGGCGGGGCCTCGCACGCGGGCGAGCCCACTGGGGCACCACATGCGGAGCTCCCTGTAGGGCGCGATCCGTGTGGCGGGTGCGTGTCGAAATGGGTGGGGGCCCGCACGTGAATTCTCCCGCGCTGGGCCCACAAGTCAGCTTTCTCAGGGGGCGATCGGTGACCGGTGCCGAACTGGGCGGGAGCGCGCATGCTAGCTTCAGTCCAGTGGGTGCACCAGCTTAGAAACTTGCCTCCGAAAGGGCTCCACCGAAGGCCCCAGCGGTAGGGCCCGCATGCGTCCCAAGGCCCATTTCGGCACACACATCACCCGTTTCGTTCCTATAGGGAGCTCCACCGAAGGTCCCAGCGGCAGGGCCTGCATCCCCAGGCCTATTTCGGCACACCCATCACACGTTTTTGGCGCCATAATGAGCTCCATCGAGGGCGACAGCGGCAGGGCCCGCATGCGTCCCCAGACTCATCTCGGCACACCCCTCGCACATATAGTGGCTCCATGGGAAGCTCCACCGAAGGCCCCAGCGGCAGGGCCCTCATGCGTCCCAAGGCCCATGTCGGCACCTCTCACGTGTTTCGTGGCCCCATGCGGAGCTCCACCGAAGGCCCTGGTGGCAGGGCTGGCATGCGTCCCCAGGCATTTCGGGATATCCATTACACGCTTCGTGGCACGATAGGAAGCTCCCCGTCCTTCGTCCCGCCCGCCTTGCGGTATTATTCACAGCTGCCCAGGGGTGGGCACCTCGCCAGGATAATTTACAAGGATCATGGTCATACGGACCAGACATGTAGCCGGCATTTTGGCGAGATCACGATTTCGGAATATACTGTTGGGGAATCTCTCGGACTGGGCGTTTTTTTCCACCCCTATCGATAAGGAAAGACGAGGACCAATCAACACAGGAGGGTTCGAAAGCCATGTAGAAGCGCAGTGCCCAGACACCATCGCGTCGTGAACAAAACAGGACGGGGGTTATTATTCATGAGACTCGGCTTCTGGGGCCCTTGCCAGGCTTCGGGACCGTCAATCAAATCGGCGTAGGTTGAAAAGCCTGTACCAGGGAAGGGGTCGAGGTCTCTTGGGGTCCACGTGATGAAAATTTGAGGACGTCGGGGGTTTGGGCAGACAGGTACCTGTTGCGATGGCGGATTCGCGGTCACGGAGGCGGATTCACGGGGATCCTCCGACGGACGGTGCTGGATTGGGAGTCTTGCTGACATCGTAGCCCCGCGAGTTTTCGGGGCGGCAAGTTTTTATTGATGGGCATCTCTTGTCCTTGTTCGATCAGTCCGCATCCTCCTCCTTCTCATCCCCCTTGCGCCGTTGCCCTCGCTGGCTGGCTCCAGTCCTCGCGGATGCTCCCTGGCCAGGCATTCGGCTGATTGTTTGAAGTGTTAGGGCTTAGTCGCGTGGTGGCCCCGCTTTTCTCAGGGGCAGGGGGCCGATCATCAGGAAGCAGGCCTTCCAGAAGCAAAGGAATCTGTCAAGTCGACCGTCTTAGTGCCATTCGGGTTGTTTTGATGCTCATCGAGGGTCTGCTTGGGTGATTCCGCAGATCGTGTGCTAGTTGCTTCTTGTCGACAAAACAATTTGAGTTTCTGCCAACGACGAAGACACATATACTTTCGGATGTCCTCGCGGATTTCTTTGATCGGCGCAGGACCCCCCACTTGGCGCGCGGAGCGCGCCAGGGGCGGCACCAGAGGCGCCGCCAGGAGGATCAAGCGCCATTCCAAGCAATCCGCGCGGACTCCCGACAGCTGCTGTTTGAACATAATGTCTCTTCTTCTTCTTCTTTACTCGTCGCAGTTTCGGGGGTGGCCAGTTGTCAACGCCATACTTCGGGTCGGTAGCATAGGGTAACGCCCATGGGGTCCCACCCAGTGGGTCCCACCAATAGAGTCTCACGCACAGGGCCACACTCAGAGAGTCCTCAGGACGTGTGTGAGCCCAAGGTGTGTTAGCCCCGCTCTCCTCTGCCGATGGCACGCCGCGTTTTCGGCCCTCAGCACACCGCCGGCGTCGTGTTGAAGGGCCTCGGTGGACAACACACGCGTTGGCGCTAACATACGCCATCTACGGATCATCGACATCGGGCTCACCCAGAGGACCTTGGCCAGCGCGTTCTGGAAATGGCCCCGCCTTCGGCGCGTCTCTCTCCGTGGGGGCGGCAGCCGGCGGAAGGCTGGCGAAGGATCGGCGGAGCGCGGCGGAACGCGACGCCAACATGTTTGGATTCAGTGTTTCCTCCTTCTCCTTCTCATCCTCCTTCTCCTCGACCTCCTCCTCCTCCTCGACCTCCTCCTACTCCTCCTCCTCCTCCTCCTCCTCAGTCGGCCGTATGTTGCGCACCATGGGTTGCCGTCCATGGATGCCGCAGCATGGGTTGCGCCCGGCGCCTCCTTCAGTTGCAAACCATCCGTGGCCGGCCCTCCACACTTAGCTGCAGCTGCACAGCATGCCTTACACGAGTCATTTCTTCGGGGCCCATGCGTTGGCAGCGTATGCGATCTGCTGCCCCCGTCCCCCTCCAGGTTGGCAGGGCTGCCACGTGCCCGGCTGGCTCTCTCCACTGTTCCCACGGACCCTTGCCGCTTAGGAGCGGCAATTTTCTGGGGCCGACTGGGCGTTTTATACCCGTCTCGGTGGCGCTGAGAGGCGCCACGGACCTGGTCGGACGAAAGGGCGGGTTAGGGAAAGGGGGGGTACGAAATCCGTTGCATGCAGCTGCTTTCAGCCCCGCCGCCGGGCGCTTCTCCCGATGCATGGGCGCCTGCGGCGCTGGCGAAAAACAATTTCGAGGACCGATTCGCTGAGCCCCCCCTTGCTACCCCCACTCTACCGTCCGACCCGACCAGGTCGGGCGAAGAGAACCAACATGTACACCGATCGGGGCCAGGCCCATCCTGGGCCCGGGATCGGATCTTCTGCCTCCCTAGCCACGTCGGGAGGTCGTGTGCACCGATTGTGGGCCCAGAGTCGGCCCGGAAAGGGTAGGTGCATGCGCACGCGGTCAGGAACTGTTGCTTAAAGTGTCGGGTCACCAGTTCTGGCCTACCCGTCCTCGGTCCGACACTTTAGGCCTCCCAGATGGGGTCCGAGCAGATGGGGTCGGAGAGTCGCGCCGAATCGCCGATGCATCGGCGATGTGGCTCGATGTGGAGCCCAATTTTCTCCACGCCGACGTCGCCGATGCATCGCCGGCGCATCGACGATGCGGTGCGATCCTCCGAACCCCATCTACTCCTACCCCATCTCGGAGGTGTCACAGTTCTGGCCCACGAAGGGCAGCGAGGGGGCCACGAAGGGCGACAGCGGGGCCACGAAGCGCGTGCGTATGGGGCCACGACGGGCGCGAACAAGCGGGGGTCCCGAAGGGCATACACATATGGGACCAGGAAGGGCAGCGAGGGGGCCACGAAGGGCCGTAACGGGGCCACGAAGGGCAGCGAGGGACACGCTAACCACGTCCTTGTCCCCATGCGGCAGCCTGCCGAGCTATTCCCAGCCTCGCGCCACGCGAGGCGGGGCGGCACGACCCATAGCGTGCCGCTGGGACCGCCGCCGCGACACCCCAAGCACGGGCGCCTGACTGTAGCTCTCCCGTTCCCCTCAGATCCGACGTCGACTAATTACACGTAAGAGTGACCTTTCGCTGGAGTGACCTTTTAGTCCGGGCCCAACGGGGCCTCCCGATCGCTGAATGTGATACTGTAGCTACGGCTTACGCGCCTGGCGGTGTCCCCGAAAGGACCCACCCTTCGGCCGCGCACCAAAGGTCACTCTTGCCCAGGGTCACCCTTGCGTGCAACCGATGGCGTTGCAAGAAAGTGCAGCATCGCCGAAGATCACCACTGGAGCCGCGGACCCTCTGTCTTCCTGCGCCAGGTTTTGGAGCTTCTCGGGCGGCGTGGAGGCGCGCCACGAGGGTGGTCCCGCGCCGCGCCGCCGCTCCTTGGGGCGCGCGCCGCTGCTACGGGCTGGCGGCGGGTGGGGCTCCTCTTCGTTCCCAACAGCGATCGTCGCCCTCCCAGTCGGCATCCTCGTCATCATCATCATCGTCATCTTGGGTGAGCGTTTTTTTGTTTCTCTCCGGCGTAACGCTCGCTACCCAGGCCAACCCTCCCCCCCATGTAACGCTAACGATCGTGCCGTGGGGCAGGGGGGCCTGCCCCCCCCCCCTACATGCTGGGAGCGGACCCCCCGCCGGTACGGCGCTGTGCTTACAGGCATGGCATGGTGGTTTAAAAAAAAGAAGGCATCGTGGTTTGAACGGCACGCATTGGTGCTCACAGACGTGTTGTGGCGCTCGCAGTCGTCGTCGTCGTCGTCGTCGTCGTCCTCGTCGTCGTCCTCGTCCTCATCCTCGTCCTCGTCCTCGTCCTCGTCCTCGTCTTCGTCGTCGTCGGTCGTCAGTCGTCGGTCGTCGGTCGTCGGTCGTCAGTCGTCGTCGTCGTCTTCGTTGTTTTCGTCGTCGTCGTCCAATGCAGCTGGCGATGGTTCATTACCGCAGGCTGTTTCGACGAATTCGTCCGCAAGTGCAGACTGCGGTGGCTCTCTCTCTTCCCTCTGGCCTGTGCTCGGTTGCAGCGCGATGCAGCCAACGCGCCTGATAAGGACGCTCGCCTTCTCCACGGTGCCCTTGTGTCCTTGCCTCTGCGGCCTGTCCTTCACCGCTTTCGTTGGCCAGCTTTTGCAAAACAATCCAAACTTCGGCTTTCAAGGGTCTTGCGTCCTTACCACCCGTCCATTATGCACGTACCGATTGTAGACCCAGCGCCATGGAGAAAATGAAGACTGAGCGGCCCCGCGCCTTCTCCTGCGGGCGGTGTGGTGTGCGCAGGCGCTGTGGTTCACGCAGGCGGCGTGGTGCACACTCGCACTGCGTTGCACACGGCTGCTGCGGTGTACAGGCGTTGTGGTGTACGCAAGCGCTGTGGTGCACACAGCACTGTGGTGTACACCGACGCTGTGTTGCACGCGGCTGCTGTGGTGTACACAAGCGTTGTGGTGTACGCAGGCTTTGTGGTGCACGCGTGTAGAATATTCCGGCGCTCCAGTTTTCATAGGGATCCGTTCAAGCCGTGTGTATATAAGTTTCGTTCTTTGTGGCATCCAGATGCGCCTTAATTTAATCGCTTCGCTCATTCCGCCGGCCCATATTGTCGCACCGTTGTGGGCTAGCCGAGTTTTGGGGCCTCTTGGGGGCCGTTTTTGGGCCTCTTGGGGCCTCTTTTGGGCCTCTTGGGCGCCTCTTGGGGCGTCTTGGGGGCCTCTTGGGGGCCTCTTGGGGCCTTTTTGGGGCCTCCTGGGCGCCTTCTGGGGCGGAGGGCTCGATTTTTCAGTTCTCGGTTCCCCTCTTGAGCCCCTCTTGGGCCCGTCTTGGGGCCTCTTGGTCCGTCTTGGGCGGCACTTGGGCCGTCTTGGGGGCCCTCCTGGGCCGTTCCGGGGCCGTCTTGGGAGCCTCGTGGGCCGTCTTGGAGCGGTCTTGGGGGCCTCTTGGGCCGTCTTGGAGCGTCCGGAAGCCGAAAAAGCCAGAACGCAAAAACACAGAAAAAACAATAAAAATCAACGATTTTGGGCCTCTTGGGGCCCTCTTCGGAGGCCTCTTGGAAGGCCCTTGGGGCGTCTTGGAGGCCTCTTGGGCTGTCTTGGGGCCCTGTTGGGCGTCTTCGGGCGATCTTTGGCCGTCTCGGGGCCCTCTTGGACCGTCTTGGAGGCTTCTTGGGGACCTCTTGGCCCGTCCTGGGGCCCTGTAACAGGGCTCCGGCATCTCTGGCCCGACCTTGCCGGGACCTTGCCGGGGACTTGCCGGGACCTTGCCGGGGACTTGCCGGGACCTTGCCGGGGTACTTTTCGTCCGGGGACCCCCAGGGGCCGCCCCGCGCGCGCGAACTAGAAATACTGTTAACCAGGTACCGGAGATCTTAGCACGCCCTGGCCCGTTGGGCCGGCGAATTTCCAGAGGGATTTCTTTATCAAACAAAGGACTTTCTGTAGAATCCAGAGGCGTTCCGCTTTCCGTAGCGATTTTTTCAAATGCTATATAAAAATTGGGTCGTGTGGAATCCAGAAGCGTTCCGTTTTCCATAGGGCTTCCTTACATAATCCTATAATAAACAATGGTTGATTGTAGGATCCTATTATCATCAACGGTTGTTGCAGTATACACAGGCACTGCGGTGTGCATGGGCGACGTGGTGCTGCAGTGCACGTGGCTGTAGTGGTGTACGGAGGCATTGTGATGTGTACACAGGTGGCGCTGTGTTGCACGCAGGTATTGGGCATTGTCGTGTACACATGCAGTTGATGCGCTGGTGGCGCGGATGCACCTTGGCGGGGGCACGCCGCCGTAACTGTTAATTACCCTCTCGCCTTCCCCCCCCTCCCCCCCGGGTAACGGCTGCTACCCTGGAGAGATAACAGAATTGTCACTGGTCCTCCTTCATCCTTATTCCCTATGTAGCTAAGGCCTTTCTGTCGCACCCCAGACGTGCCAGTAGGGCGGGCCAGGCCAGGATCCTGAAGCGTGACATTTATGACATGTGTAAGGGTGGAGCGCGGGTGGTTTTCAAAATGTGGTTCCAGTCCCAGCGCCGCGCACATTCGTCCTCAAAGCTTGCACGAGCTTCACAGATGGAGGGCGAGTGGCTTTCAATGTTTGGCTCTCGCTTTAGCACCGCACAGTTTGGTTCTGAACGTTTTCAAGAGGTTAACGGAGGAAGGGCGGATCCTTTGCAAAATGTGGCTCCCGCCCCAGCGCCGCTCACAATCGCTGCGAAAGTTAGCAGCAGATTCAAGAATTCGTATTGTCGACGCCCCAGGACGGGTGCCCTGGCACGATTTGGGACTGCAAAACCCAGGGACGGTGTTCTGGCACGATTTGGGCTAGCCAGCACGCCACGGTCATGTTGATTCGCGGCACTGAATTTGCAGGAGTGATGTCGTGGCACGATTGAAGGTTCTCAGTTGGTTGTATTCCAATGGGGCATTTCCTGCAGTGAGCATACATTATTGTAGAGACCTCTGAACATCGTAGTCTGTAACATCGTCGATGCGTCGTGGGTGTACGCTGGGCCTCCTCCTCTGCGTCGTCCTCGTTCGAGTCGTCACTCGCGAAATTGAACCCTTCCGAAGCCGTACGGTGGTCATCGTCATCCTCGCCCCCCACTCGTCCTTGCCCCCCTCCATCCTCGTTGTCCTCGTTGTCCTGTTCCTCCTCCGCCTCCATCCTCGTCCCCCTCCTCTCGCCCCGCCGCTTCTGCCATCTCTGCATATCACTCCTCCTCTCCTACTCTCCCTTTTACCCCCTCCTCTCCCCTGCCCTCCCGCCTCGCTCTTGATCTCACTGCTTGATGATACTGTGCGGGGCGCGCGCGCGCGCTGAACGGGCACCTTCCCTGTTAAAGAATGTCGTGCGGGGCGGGCCACGCGTGCGCGTGCTCCCCAACGCCCCATGAACACCATTGCCCTGGCGCCCGCATGGGGTCGTGATCTTGCTTGGCCTTTCCTACGGACTGGCTATGCAGCAGGCGCGCCGAAGTAGAAGCTTGCCTGCCCGCGGATGCTCCACGAACATTTCTTACGTCGGGTACCTCACAAAGCGCAGAGTCGACGCAGGATCAGCCTTTCATGTAGCCCGATTAAAGCAATATGTCGTATCTTATGTGCCTGATGTAACATTTATGCGTTCGCTCGCGTGACGGAAATTTCCGAGACTGGGGTTAAGGGCGGGGGGGGGAGGGCGGGGGGCGGGGGGTATGGTCGTTTTCAGAAACAGTGTGGTCGCCCACTCTTGCCCTCCCCCCACCCCCCTACTCCCTCGCACGCCCTCCCCTACCCTTCTTCTCTTCCCCCGCGCACCCTCTCCTCTCTTCTCCCCTCCCACACCCTCCTTCTTTCCCTTCCCCCCCTTCTGCCCTCGCACGCCCTCTTCTAATTTTCCCTCTTCCCTACCCGTCCTCCCATCCTGTCGCACGCCCTCCCTTCTTTTTTGTTTCTCAGTGCCCTACGCTGGTACCCCTCCTGTTGATCTCCCGTTGGTCTCAGAAGCACCGTCACTGCAGAAGCAATGAGGCCGCAAAAACAGTGCGGGTGGCAAGGGAGACTACCGAGGCTGGTCCTTGGAGACCCACCTCTCGGCAGTCCAAACCAAAGGCACCGACCGACCAACCTGAGATTGTAGAGGCCTCCAGCCGGTGCCGCCGATCCGGGACGATCCCGCTGTCACAAGGACGCTTTCGCCCCAGCGCGCTTGTTCAAACGTGAGTGGTTTGGAAACAGCTTGGAGGCATTGCGTGGGCTTCTTGAGGGGCCTCTGCGACGCATCTTCGAGGCTTCCTGGGGGGCCGTCTTGGAGGTGATTGTTGAGCCTCTTGTGGGCCTTTTGGGGCTTCTTGGGGGGCATGCAGGAGGTATCCTGGAGGCCTCCTGGGGGTGTGTAGGAAGTAATGTTTAACCTATTGGGAGCGCTTTTGGGTGCCTTTGTGGGGCCTCTTGAGGGCCACTTGGAGCCTCTCGGGGTTTCTTGGGGACTCCTAAAGCCATTTTGGTGCCTCCTGGGCGCCTCTTGGGCCGTCTTGGGCCCTTCTGGGGCCGTCATGGGACCCTCTTGGGCGCTTCTTGGGCACGTCCTGGGGCCCGCTTGGGCTGTCTTGGGGGCCTCCTTGGCCGTCTTGGGCCCTTCTTGGGCCGACTTGGGGCCCTCTTGAGAGCATCTGGGCCTGTTTTGAGGGTCTCTTGGGCCGTGTTGGGCACAGCGACGGCCGAAGACGCGACAATGCCAAAAATATACGTTTACCTACGGGAATGGGCAAGACGTTCCGTCTTTGGGCACTCTTAGGAGGTGTCGGGAGGGTACTTTGGAGGTTTCTCGAGCCGTTTGAGGAACATATTGAGTGTCTTGGAGCGATGTTTCGGCCACTCAGGGCCCCCTTGGGCCGTCTGGGCGGCCGCTGGGTTTTACCTGACAGCGAAGACTGATAGGTTTCTAGTGGGCTCAAAAGAGAGCATCTTGACTCCCCAGGGGGTTCTGGGCGGATGCCGGGGCGAATCCAGGGACTCCCCGGGACTCCCCAGGTGGTTTTGGGCGGGTGCCGGGGAGGATCCGGGGACTGCCCAGAACACAAGTTCCAGGCCACATTCTGAATGCCCGGAGCCAACTGTAGGCCACTTCGTGTTCTTCGTGTTCCCAGAACACCACTCCCTGGCCACATTCTGAATGCCCGGAGCCAATTGTAGGCCACTTCGTGTTCTTCGTGTTCCCAGACCACCATTCCCAGGCCACATTTTGAATGCCTGGAGCCAACTGTAGGCCACTTCGTGTTCTTCGTGTTCCCAGAACACCGTTCCCAGGCCACATGTTGAATACCTGGAGCCAATTGTAAGCCACTTCGTGTTCTTCGTGCTCCCAGACTTTAAACGGAGAAGGTTAAAGGCGAGGTATAAATCGAGCATGTACCGCTGCCGTGCCTGGTTCAAGCCGGGCCCGGCCAAATATATGACTGTGCCTCACCGAGGCGCACGACTGGTATCTGAGATCGGAAAATACTTTTTCCATTGAAGATGCCTCTTCTATCCTTTACTCCAGATCCCATGCTTCGTCTCGCTCTCTTGCTCATGCGATATGAGCCAAAGCCTGGGATATGGCAACGCTTAAAGCGTAACACATACCTAAGCTTAC